TATAATTAATGCTTCCCCCCCACCTTTGTTACCCTGTTTTCCCCAAAATAAGACAGGGTCTTAATTTATTTTGACCCCTGAAATAAGCACTTGGCCTTATTTTCAGGAAGGTCTTATTATTTTTGAGGTGCAGGAGGGGGCGAGTGTGGTCACCTCTTGGCTGCTGCTGTGTTGCAATATTTTCAGAGAGGGCTTATTATCCGGGGAGGTCTTATTTTGGGGAAAACAGGGTAACAAAGGTGGGGGGGAAGCATTAATTATAAATATCCTCAGTTTTCCCACTGAAGCCAAAGGGTGGACAAAACTATTATTTTGCCATCACAACAGAGAACATTTTTGCTGTTTTCAGGGTTGCCTTTACAGAAGTTCCGCGCACCTCAATCTCCTTAGATGGGACCCCTTGTTCCAGCACGCCCCGCAGCTTCTGAATAGTTGATTTTAATTTGGTTCCTGTGTAGTTGCCCGAAGGAAAAATTTGGACTACTGGAAGAGCAGCAAGTTCTTCATTGGTGATTAATGGGCAGTCTGGAACAGAAAGTAGATAGATGTATGGATGTCAATAAAAATCCACATAAAAACTCCTTACGATGCTGCTAACTTACGAACTATAGCAACAGTGGTCACCATGATATAGTTTGCAGGCTGTCAGAGGCTGATTAAAACATACTATGATGACAACCTTTATAAAGGCTCCCATAAATAACCCAAGTGGTAAACAACTCCTAAGCATTAACCCTCCACATTCAATCCTTAACCCTTACTACGACATTGGGATTTTCATTCCATTTACAACACCTAAAAACCTATTTCATACTTACAAAAAAAGCCGTTCCTTTCCACAACTGATCTATCACAATCCTTTTCCTCTCTCTTTCACAATGAAAACCCTCAATTACATCCATAAATTGAAAGGACGTAATTGGCCAATTTAAGGAAAGACCGGTCTCATTAGTTTGCCTTCTTGTAAATGTAGAGTTGCCATATCTGAGCTGTCAACATTTGGGCAACCTCTAGATGGAAGCCGATGATACAGGAAACTCTTCATTCAATACTTGGATGTTTTGTCACCAGCCAGTTGATTCTGGCTGCCTTGTTGTGAATATTGTAAGAAAACCTCTTCCTGTCCATCACTTTAGGAGATTTATCCCAGAATAAGGGAACATTTCTCTTATGAGAACTTGAGCTAAAGCTTTGAGCTAGCTGTACAAATCAGATAAGTAATGAGTGAGAGCAGTCATCTAGAATTTTTCCAGCCCTATTAATATTATATTAAATGGCCCAGAAAAATAGGACAATATTATATTAAATGGCCCAGAAAAATAGGACAATATTATATTAAGTGGCCCAGAAAAATAGG